AGGAAGGAAGGAAGGAAGGAAGGAAGGAAGGAAGGAAGGAAGGAAGGAAGGAAGGAAGGAAAAGGAAAGGAAAAAGTGGAATTTTAGGCTTAGAAAGACTTGGGAAAATAGCAGTCAGCCATCCTTATCAGTGCATCCTTGGATTCAACCAAGTGTAAACTGAAAATATTTGGGAAAAATATTATATTTACTGAACATACACTTTTTTCCTTTTCCCTGAAAAATTAAGCATAACAATTATTTATGGAGCAATGAACAGTCCAAAATGACTAAATGGGAAAATGTCTTAGCTACAATGCAAATATCAAACCACTTTGTATATGTGAATGAGCATCTGGGAAGTTTGGTATCCCGGGAAAGTGGGTGTCCTAGAACCAAACCCTAGGGGATACGTTTTTAATCTTTGTGAGACTGTGCTTTATGCATTCTTTTCTGTACTTCTTCACTCCTGATTACTAGGCAATTTCAAAGGTTGACTTGACGAAAGTATTGGAAACTATTCTCTGTTACCCACGGTGAAACTCTGAAAGTCTCAGTAGTGCCATGGCATCGCCAAGCCCTGTCACTTTGGCCCGGGTCGCCATGCGAGCTGGAGCAGGGATATCCACTCGCTGAAGGGGAGCATTAACAAAGTGTTGGCTACAGAAGCGCATTCGCCAGAGCCGGGCTTGGGGCGCCACCAGCCCGCCTGCCCTTGCGACCCCGCTGGCCGCTCACGCACCGGGCTGGTACCAGGGCAGCAGGGCGGGTGGCCACGAGGGCCCGGGCCCTTCTCCTACCTCGTGCCGAGGGGAGCGGGCTGACCACGAGTGGGCCGGAGGAAGACGCGACGCCTGAGCCTCCGCAGGCCAGAGCTGGACGCCCAGCCGTTGCCAGGCGCGAATCCAAGGAAGCCTTTCCCACAGTCCCCTGCGCCGCCGGGGCGAGGCCGGAAGCTCGGGACCGGAAGTGCAGGGAGGGCTGCCGGGAACTGTGGACCGCAGAGTCGGCCGAGCTGTTGCGGGGTTCACCGGGCCTTACTGCTGTCCGGGAGTTGCCGCTAGCGCCAGGGATGATCACAGAAGGAATTATCAAGGTCGTGTGAACCCCGAAGCAACAGTCCCGAGAGCAGGCGACCGGAGCGTGATGGCCGAGTGAATGAAACGTCCCCGAGCCATCACACAGGGCTTGGGAACCTTGGAAAGCTGTCTTCTGTGGGACATGGCGTAGAAATTGTATTCACCACACGATAAATGGTCAGATGACCCTGTCGGGGTTCTTTCTAAATAAATTTCATCGGAAAAATTAAAAAGTAAAGGGAATGTAGTGCTAGGTGTGATGACGCACGCCTGTGATCCCATCACTTGGGAGGTGGACTGGACGATCGGGAATACAAGGCCAGCAGGGCCACCCAAGACCTTGTCTTAATAGCAAAATAATGTTTCCCTCCGGAACAAAAGCTGGACATGTTGACTTGAAGTCTATTATAAAACACCGAGGTTTACTAACCTTGAATTGCTCAGTTGTATCAGAAAGGCATTGCATATGTAGCATCCATCTTACCCTCCACGGGACATATGGAGGTGGGTGTAGGGACAAACTATTAGGTTGATCAGGCTCGTGCTACTTGGTGTACTTTGAAGGTTAAAGCACTTTGTCTCTGATACAGGTGTTTTGTACCAGCATTCAGAAGGTAACAATGTTAAGCTAATGTATTAGCTTGCAAGTGGGATAAATCCTACAATTATTGACAGTATCTGGCTACCGTGCATCACTCAGAGCAGTCAATAAATACTTGTTGAGTTAGTGAACACCATAGAGCCCTTCTTTCAAAGGCTTTGATACAGAAAGATAAAATTAGACTCACTGAACCTTTTTTTTGTTTTGTTTTGTTTTTGTTTTTGTTTTTCCGAGACAGGGTTTCTCTGTGTAACCCTGGCTGTCCTGGAACTTGCTCTGTAGACTAAGCTGGCCTCGAACTCACAGAGATCTGCCTGCCTCTGCCTCCTGAGTGTTGGGATTAAAGGCCTGCACTCCCCACCCCCAGCACTGAATCTTTTTTAATGATTGCACATCAGGGTTCCCAGGCCTTGTCTGAGAAGAAGACATTATTATGTTTTGTTAAAATAAAAGTTCCTCAGGCAACAGACATTTTGGACTTGTTCACTCAATAATTATTGAATTAACTGTCAAGGTTTGTCATTAGTCACATATAGAGTGGGGTGAGCGAGACGCAAACAAGCATGAGCCCTATGACTCGAGTAACTGAGTACAAGTTCCATATGTGAATATGGAGAACACTAGAAGAGAAGCAGGTTTGAGGGGAAATGAGTTTAGTCCAGGTGCCTGTGGAATACCCAAGAAAAGGTGTTGAGTAAGCAGTTGTGTATAAAGATATAAAACTCAGAGAAGAGGGCCCGGCATGTGGCTCAGTGTTAGAACATTTGCTTGGCATGTACAAAGTCCTGATTTGGATTCCCAGCATCACAATAAACAAGCTCAGAAAAGAGACTCCCATCTAGAGATACATACTTGGGATTCAGTAATTCCTGAAAAGGATGGTTTGGAAGCCTGTGAATGAGGTTTTTTTTTTAAGGATAAGGTCATGTAGAAAGTCAAAAAAGAAAGGATGAGAAGGTAATGAAGGTGGGTAAACAGGATCAAAACATTATATGAATGTATGGAAATGTTATAATGAATCCTGTTATGTAAGCATATACCAGTTTAAAACATTTCTTAAAAAATCCTAGAACTGAGCCTTGATATTTAGATTTTATAGAAGAGGAGCCCTTAATGACTCTTCAGTGGTCAGACATGGAGGTAAAAATCAGACAGAGAAAGCATTGGAAGACCAGGAAGCCAGTGTGTTAAACAGGAGGGAAGTGTACGTATTGGAAGGAATGTGGTTGAGAGATTAAGTTTAAGCAAAGGATGTTTTACTATATTTAAGTAACTTGAATGTCACCTTTGGTTTATCAGGAACTCTTGATGGATAGTGGAATAGAAGCCTGATTCTATAGGGTTAGCTGGTTATTGGGGATTGTATTAGTCTATTTCATGTTACTACAATGAAATCCATGAGGTAAATTAACTTTGTTTGGAAAACAAATTTATTTTCACATGCTTTTGGAGGATGAGTCAGGCTCTGACAAGGGCCCCGTGACAAATAGCAGTGTGTGTCTGAGAAGCGATCACAACACCAGGTAGGAAGCCACTGCTGGCTGCAGTCTGGCTTAGCCCTGTTTTGTTCTGTTCTTGCTGTTTTGATTTTGTTTTTGGAGAGTATCTTAGTTAGGGTTACATTACTATTGCTATGATGAAACACCATGGCCAAAGGCAACTTAGGGAGGCAAGGGTTTATTTGGATTACATTTCTACAGCATTCATCATCGAAGGAAGTCAGGGCAGGAACTCAGGTCAGGGACCTGGATGCAGAAGCTGATGCAAAGGCTATGGAGGGATGCTGCTTACTGGCTTGCTCCTCTTGGCTTGTCATAATAAAACCCATTATTGGGGCCAGAGAGAGGGCTCAGTGATTAAGAGTACTTGTTGCTCTTGCAGGATCCAGATTCAGTTCCCAGAACCCATATAGTTATCATGCACATAAAAATAAATCTTAATGAATTTCATCATCATGTATAAAAAATTTATTCTAATAAAAATTGCAAAAGAAAGTTTAAATAATACCAGACAGACAAAGCAAAATAAAAACTAAAGATTGAAAAAGCAGAAGGCGGTGACCTAAGTTTTCAGTAGAGAGTACAAAACAAAGGAAAGCAGTGGCTTGGTGTGAGAATCAGGAATGCAGCCCATGGTAGAGACATGAATGGAGGCCACTGTGGTGTCAGAGACATGGGGGCATCTGCTTTGCATCATTTGGCTGAGCTGTGAACATCTGCACCTTGCAGTTGCATCACTGTGAAGTTGAGAAAGAAAGAAATTGACACTAGAAGTTTGCATGTCACTTTTACGTAGTTTAATAAAGTTTTTAAATGTGTATTCTGGTGGATTTTTTTTTTTTTTGAAGAAAATATTTGCTTCTTTTGGTCTTGGGATGGAGTGCCCAACCTGGCATGAGGTTAGGCACAGGCTCTATCATTGATTTACATTCTCAGCCCAAGAATGTCTTTAAACCATCACAGACCATAGCCTGGGTTACTTAGAGACCTCAAATCCCCATCTTAAGCATAAGCTTAGCAAGGCTTTAAGATGAGCTTTTTTAATCTATACATCAGAAAGAAATTAGCAGCTAATGAGATTTTTAAAAATTCAGTTTAGTTGAGAAAAGGAAATGTTTTATTCAGAGAGAGATTGAGAGTTCACAAAGGGGTCCAGTGTAACTCAGGCTGGCCTCAAACTCATGATCCTCCTGCCTCAGCCTCCCAGGGTATGTGCCACCACCACCAACTGAGGAAGGTTTTTAACAAAGGCTTCTCAACACAGTGTTAGGCTTGGAGGGGCCTGGGCCTGGACCCAGAGAGGTAAGTATGTTGGAAAGCGTGTTTAAGTCAGGGTTTATGGTTCTCCCATCAGCATTACTATTTCAGCACTGTGCATCTTTGGCCCAGTCCTTTCTTGTTCTAGAATCATCTTTTCACCTGTGAAAGGGAGGGGTCAGACTTGACCTGATACCCTGTTGGCTTTTGGGTCTTTGATCTCATCTGTCTTTTATTTACTTGTCAGGAAAGCAATTTGACCCTGGCATTTCACTGCCTCGTTGTTCACAAGGAAAGGAAGTTCTGCAGTTGCCAAGGGAACTTAGGCCAGGTTCAACACCAAGATTCCTCTAAACACATTTCTCACTGTAAGAACCAGGAGAATGTTCTAAGCTTAAGGTGACCACTCTGTATTCAGTGTAAAGGAGATTGCTGATTAAAACTGAGGGGAATGTCACAAACATGGGGAAAAAGACATTTGGAAAAATATTAAATGTTCAAGTTGCTGTTATAGATGGAAATGGTTAAAAGGGAGTCGGGTGCCCTTAAATTGCTGCCTATGAGACCCTGAGTGTGCTTGGAGCAAAGTGAAGCCTGATGAAGAGCCCATACTTGTAGTGGACGGCTGTTCTAGTTATGACCTTGAAGCACCGCCCCTAGTGAGGCAGCAGGTAACTGCTACACCTGCCTATGACCTTAAAGCACAAGCCTCTGGGGCGAGGCTGCTTGGGACCCTTAAGACCTGGGATGCACTTATGCAGCACTCTCTTCTCTCCCTCATGGATTGGATGCTGGGACTGACCAGGCAGATCTTGGAAGATCAGTGTGGGACATAGCTGGCCTTTCCCTGACCCTACGATAAATACCTATGCTGTAGTGAGTTACCCCCTAATAAATTCCCTTGCTCATTAAATAGACTCCAAGGATTTCTCACATTATCTGAAGCCCAATGTGGGGCATGAACCCACGACCCTGAGATTAAGAATTTCATACTCTATTAACTTGGACCGATGAATGCAGATCAACAATATATATACAAGGCAATCCTTTACCAGTGGGAAACACCTTGGGGGGCCTCTCACAGGCCCCCAAATTGAATGTGGTCCAAACATTGTGAGCCACTGTGGAGGAAATTCCTCTCCAGGACAATTAAATAACCCAGTGTCTAATGTGAAGAATGATATTGCACTAGATGATAGAACAGATCTGATAGATGGATCAAAAATTCAAAAAACATCATAAAATGAATATTTTGACAGACTTCCATAAGTGAAAAAAGACCAAAGTTTAGAGTATGAATTAATGGTGTTCTTCTAGAAGGCCTGGTAGACACAAGTGTGGATGTTACTATAATTATATCAAAATCACAGCATCTGAATTGGCCTCTTCAAGGGGTAGATGTCCAATTTCTAGGAATTGGCACCCTATCTCAAGTAAAACAAAGTTCGAGATGGGTTGAATGCATAGGGCCAGAAGGTCAGAGAGGAAGGCTGGAGCCATATGTGCCAAATGTAACAA